TAAGTGTATGGTCTAGGAGTACAGCCTGGAACTGACAGGTAGCAACACCTTTGACAAACATTGCCAGAACCCTTTGATTCTCTCCAATTTCGACTTTTTTTTTTTTTCCCAGCAAGTGAAAGAGATTTATCTATTTTGGAAATCTTCACACAAAAAATAAATTTTGAAACCAGTAAAACCTATGGTTAGGCCGGTTACACTGGTATTAGACAACTCTGGATCCAAATCCTCAGTTTAATCATTTGTGAAACAGGAATATTGTGTACCTGAATAAAACCGTGGCCATATGTAGTGAGTTCATGCACATAAAACACATGCATGTTTTTAATAATTATTACTGAGCTACCCAATTTCCCCCTTCATTTTAAAATAAATAATATATACCAACTTGTTTCAATCCAGGCAAACTAGAATGTTGTAAAGAAAATAAGAGGAATCCCCAAAGCAAAAAGGAGGGGGTCCCCAAAACATGATAATAGTTCTCATTCAGAAAATATTTAATAGCATGTTGTAAAAGTTGAACTCAACTATAATATTTTCCCCTTTTAGTTAGTAGTTTTGGAAATCAGTATCTATTAATAAACCCTGAGAGAACATTGAAGACCTTTGTGGGGAGATAGGAAGAACCCCATTTTCCATTTGTGTCATTTATTAACTAAATGACATTGTTTAGACCTCCTAGAGTCTCTGGGCCTTTCTTGCACAGGTCTAGTTTAAGAACTTTTTCTTCTAGATAAAAATGAAAGGGGAGTAGGATACTGGCATGCTGGAATCAGTTTAGCAACCCTGTCTTGCAGAACACACAGATTCTGTTCTCCTCCCTGAATCCATTCTCCTTTCTACCTCCTCTGACAAAATCACCCTGTCTCCTTCCTACACAACATTGTTGGAAGACAACATCCGTGCCCTACCCCTTCCCTTCTTCACAGAATTCCCATTTTCTTTCTTTATCTGTTTTGCTTTGAGAGGACTTACTATTCAGGAGATGCTGGTGTGAGCCCCAAGCCCAGCCTGACTAATTGATGTAAGCCAGTTATGTTGCTTTCATTCCTTTGTTGTTGTTGTTTTGAAATTTAGAAACAAATTTTATTTAAGATCTGAGGTACAATTCCTAAAATATCAACTTTTCCAGAAAACTGTGACTACCCAATAACACATTGCCTCTATCATGTCAGAATGTACATTAGACTCAAATACAAAAACCAAGAATCAAACCACCATCCTTCAACAATTTGAGGAAAGATAGAATGCCTACACAATGACATGCATGGATTTCAGAGGATGGGCTATTTTACTTTAAGCTCCATTGAAAAAAAAAAAGAGCAGAAACATTTGGGTTTTGGGGTATATACATTAAGTTGAAGCTTTGGCACTAGGAATCAAGGCATTTTGACACATAGCATTTAACACACATTAGAAAATTRTGTAGTGTCAAGGGATAGAACCACCAGCGTTCACATGGTGTTTGTCAACTAGGCAATAAAATGTTCTATTAGATGTTTCTTCTTTGTCTAATTACTGCATAAACTGGTAGCAACTTTGAAATGAGGAGGGAGTTTTTACTCCTTTTATTTTCTGTTTAAAACAGAACAGAAAACAAACTGAAACATAAGCCCTGCTATACATTAACAATCTTACTTCATTTTTTTTTTTTCTGATACTGGGGATTCAGCCCAGAGTCTAGGCAAGTGCTCTACCATGGATGAGCATCCCTATCCCTATCTTAACAGTTTTAAAGAACATCAGCTATAGGAAAAAAAAAAAGCCAAGAACAGAATTTTCTTGGTGTTTACAGATACCAGATGTAACAGTGAGTGATCAGTAGAACCTCTCACAGGGCTTTGTGGTATTACCGAGCAGAAGCTATTTTGTAATTACTGGCGGTTAACAGAGATGCAGAATTCTTTGCCAGATATTTTAGGAAATCATACAGATAGCTCATACAGATAGTAATGCAAGGTTCTTCTCATCAAAGAGAGCATAGGCCAACTTGATCAAATTCTTACAAATAATCTCAATAGGTGTGGGGCTCCATAAACCCGGGACACTGGCACATTAGGGTGGGCCAAAAGGATTTTGGCATACTGGGGCCTCTCTCATTTGTAGAGCAGCTAAGTGCCCAATATCACATTGAAATACTCTTATTCCTGCCACAGCTTTATATACTGCTTACTCCTTATAGTTGACATTTTCCTGTGATTTCTTACAAATTTTAGAATGGCACCTATGTCTTAGCAGGGAGTTGAAACTGCTGCTTCTGCCTGGTTACTAAGTCCCATTCCTCAACAAGCCAAGGTTGTAATTCTTCAGGAATCTTCACTTTAACTTCCATTCTATTGTTAAATGTCTGTTCACTTTCCACAGTGGGATTTCCCTGCCCCCCCCCTTTTTTTGCTGGGGGTAGGATGCTGGAGAGCTTTGCTGGTACTGCCACCATCTCCATTTCCAGGAGTCTTCTGTCCTTCTTTCTTGTCTTCCTCATGGATTCTGAAGGGGGGTTTTATACAGAGTGCCCCTACCCCCATCTTCCTTGGAGAGTTGGCTCAAGATTCTTTGTGAACGAGCTGTCTTTTTTCTTGAGGAGGCACCTTTCACCATACGTCTCTGCATATTGCTTTGAGTTGGTTTTTTGAAGTTGTCTTCTGCAGGTTGTTGTCCATGAGTTTGAAAATCCCTCTTTCTAGAATGCATTCAACCCTGTTTTTATTCCAAATGACAATCTTCCTTCTTTCCCTTCCAAGAACTCCTAATGATTTTCCAGATGGACTCTTACAGATCTTCTGGGATGATCTGGAAGGATGAAGTGGGAGATACAACCCCAGGTTCTGTAGTCAGGGATGGTTCTGCAATAAGGATCAGATTTCCTGATCCTTACTTATGGCAGACTTAGCTTTTCTGAGGATGACCTGAAATGAGAATCCAGTTGTTTCTAGCAGCTGCCATGTGATCACTACTCTGCCCCCAGCTGCCACAGTCACTACCATTCTTTAGCTGAATGACTCAACTCTGCAACCTCTCTACTTTGGCCTCATACAAGATAACAAATTCCCACTGTGACTTATACACATTTGATCCAGAAGTTTGTTAACTTTCATCTAAAAGCATTCTTTCTTTCCAATTCTAGATGTTACACATTTAATACATAGGTGTGTTTTCAGAACAATGTGTAATTATTTTGTGCTCTTTACACAAATGATTTCGTATCAAGCAACTTTTTTTTTTTTTGCTTGACATTTAATTTGGGGAATTTTTGCCATGTTGATATACTGTAGGCATTACACAATATTCCACTGTATGATGATAGCACAGTTTATTTACCCATGCACTTACTGATGGGCATTAATGTTAAAATTTCCACTATTACAGATGGTACTTCAGTAAATATTTTGTTCAGTGATGCCATGTGAACATATGTGAGTTTCTTCAGTTCTGTACTGTCCAATATTGTAGCCAATAGACACATGTGATTATGTGAAATAAAATTAGTGGAAATTTAAAAATTGGTCATTGCTTGCATTAGTCACATTTTAAGTGCTCAATAGTTACAGATTATTATTGGACAGCATAGGTGTGGACAATTTCTGTCTTTGTGGAAAGTTCTTTTGGATAGTGCTCCTCTGGGACAGTGCTGCTCAATATTTTTTCACAACATAGCACACACAGGAAATTATACAATTTGTACAGTTCCCTGTGATGAATAACAAGGCTTGATCAAGGCAGGAGAATACTGGCTCAGGGACTCTGGCTGCCCGAGGCCATTCTCAGTTGCCCCAAGGTGTGAGAGTTCCATGATATCTCCATGGTAACTCATTTACTGTGCACCACTAAGTCTACACTTAACCTTAGAATGTGTATCTAGAAGTGGTGTTGCTGGTCCATAGTACATACACACATTGTTTCCAAAGTAGTTTTAATTGTCCATTCCTGTGGCCTTGGGAGCTCTTAGTAGTGGGAGACTCTATTTTTGCCAATGTGATGGATGTGAATTAATTAATATGCCATTACTTTAATTTGCATTTCCCTTGTTTTTTTGTGAGGTTGAACATTATTTCACTAATGTTATTTCTTTCTGAGAATTTCCTGTTCAGATTCTTTGTCTATTTTTGCATCACCTATTTATCATTTTAATTAACTTGAATTATTTATATTTTTTGGATACTAGCTCACTTGTTAGTTATATTAACACAACCATTTATTTTGGTCAGTAACTCACCTTCTAACTTTGTTTATGATATATGCCATGGCACCAAAGTTTAAWTTTATTATTATCATCAAGATTATTGAGCTGGGTGCATGTCTATAGTCCCCGCTACTGGAGGCTGAGGTAGAAAAAGATTCCTAGAACCCAGGAGTTTGAGACCAACTTCAGCAACATAGCAAGACCTGATCTCAACAAAGCAAACACACAACACAAACAAGATTATCAAGCTTTTCCTCTGTGTTTGAGCTATAAATATTTCCTTATGTAATAAAGATATTCTCTTACATTTTCTTCTAAAGGTTTTCCAGTTATACTTTCACATAGAAGAATTTCATTTCTTATATTAAGAATTAATTTTTAAATTTTTAAAAGTCAAAAAAGTTCCCGTTCTATAATGTTTGTAAAATGTATATTCCATAAATATATTTTCTTAAAAATAAATAATCTTTGGAAGTGTCTAAAACCTCTAGTTTTTAAAAAAAWTTTTTTTAGTTGTTGATAAACCCTTATTATTATTTTTTATTTATATGTGGTGCTGAGAATCAAACCCATGCTTCACACATGCCAGGAAAGTGCATTACCACTGAGACCCAGCCCCAGCCCCTAAAACCTCTAGTTTTACATTTCTATTAGGAATACAGTGTGGATTATTTTATTTTATTTTTCACTTTACACTGGGGTGGTTAAATGTTTGTCATCTTGTATATTTGTACTCAACTTTTTTTCTCTAGTTTGAATTACCAAGGCCAAAGGTCACTGACTCTCCCCTTCTGTTATCTGGGTTGTCTCTGTCTTCCAGCATACCCTACTTTGAAACTAGTGCTGCCAATGGGACAAACATAAGTCAGGCGATTGAAATGCTCCTGGACCTGATAATGAAGCGAATGGAACGGTGTGTGGACAAGTCCTGGATTCCTGAAGGAGTGGTGCGATCCAATGGCCACACCACTACAGATCCATTAAATGAAGAAAAGAAGGGGACATGTGGTTGTTGAAAACTCAAGTGTGTGGCACCATATTTCAGATGGCCCGTGTATGTGACCTTCCCTATGGCTGACACAAGGCACAGTGAGATTAATAGGCTTGTGTACAAACTGCTTCTCTCCATCTCCCTTAGACCTACTAACTAAGCATCCAGTCTTTAATTTGTTGCAGCTTTGTAAACATTTAAGATTCAGCCTAAGAGTTAGGAAAAATATTTCACAGAGCCAAAAGTGCTTTTTACAGCCTTAGCCCATGAGAGTAAATCATTCAAGAATTCAAGAATTGGTAACCACAGAAGAGTGTATTACAAGGAAAATACCACCTGCCTTAATGCAAATAGACCTAGAGTCTCACATTAAGATCTTAGGTATAGTTATGAAATAATCACAGTTTTGAATCCAAATTTACAAACTCCTACCATAGGTGACCTTCTAAAATCGCCATTTTAACCACTTGAATGTTAAATAAGAATATAAATACACATCAGATTAGTGTCTTTGAGCATTAATTCGAGGTAAGCATTCCCTTTAATATGAATAGAGGGCAAATCATGGCAGAATCTATAGATCCTGGATAAACTGGATTGATGATAAACTGATCGTGACTGTAGACTCATCATGATTTTTTGTTGGTTGGAAAAGGGTTGGGGTTCGAGGCAGAGGTGGCTTAATTAGTATGAGCAAGTAAAGCTACATTCCCGTTGCTCTAAGGACCAATAGAAGGATCAGGAACTAGATCTCACAGYTTCAGTTCATTTATAGTTGGCCTGTATCCTGGGCACATCTGAGCACGGCTGGTGTTTATTCTGTATATGTGATAAGTAAATATTTAGCTTGTTTTTCTTCATATTTAAAATGTTGGTCTGGCATCCTCTGACTGCAGTTTCARTTAGCTTATAGACTACTAATCTTCTGTGTTCACCATTAGGCTCTGTATGGTTGATATTTGCAACTTGTTTTATTTTTTCATTGGTGCAATTGAAGAAATTTGTTTTTAATTGTGTAGAATGTCTGTTTGCTATTTGGCAGAAGATAGATGGATTTGTATTCTAGTTCAATCTAAGAGAAACTGAAGTGTTCTAAAGCTTGTATTTTTCACTGGGATCATGGGTGTTTACTGTACTTGCTCGGTCTTGCCAAGATCATGTATTCTGCTGTATTGCCAAAGTGTCTTCATACCAAATTAAAGGTGGTTTTAAAATATACTTCATGGAAATAGCTTATAAAGTTCAAAGGTATTTCATTTTGAGGAAAATTCTTATTTATTAAAGTGGTTTAAATATTGTAGATTAAAATTTCTAGAGAGCTTAGTTGTTGTTTAGAAGAAATATCACTTATTATAATTTAAATAAAAATAAATGTATTTTGTGGCAGCAAATATTTGGCAGAACTGTAACTAGAAAAATACAAGTAGGAAGAAAAAATTACTTTCCAATAAGTTTCATCTRGCCTTTTATTGAGCACTTACCATGTTTTTTGTTTTTGGCTCCTGTCTTTTTACCACTCCTGTAACAAACCTAACCATGATACTAAGATTTTACATATTTCTATTCTTGAAATGAAGGCTTCTTTTAAATACCAAATAAGTCATTCAAGCCTCCGCATTTGAACAGTATTCTAATAAGGAAGATATCCAGATGTTTCAAGGGCAGGGCCATAATCATACAGCAGTGCCTTCTAAAGGTGCCATAAGACTTCAGTGGAGTGTGCCTTAATTAAGCAGTTATATATCAGGGCACATTTTATGTGGTCTATTTGTATAATTAAAAGTAAGACAAGGTTTCAGTTTTCAAGAATCAGATGTATAAGTAGCTACAAATTCTATTGGCCTTAAACACAGCACACAGTCAAATGTATGCATAACAGTGCACACTCAAGAACCACCTTTATTAATTAAATAACCAGTATTCTCTTTGAAAATCATTTGTTTAAATTTGATATCAAAGTACCATATTTTTGTGTGTCAATGTATTTTTCTATTTACAATCCCGTGTAAAAGTAAAGCATATCTTCAGTGAACCTTATGCTAACTAAGCGATAATAAAAGAGTGATCTAATCTGTCAAGTTTGTGTGTGACCATAACTTCATTTCTCATCACAATATTTCCAAACACAAAAAGGTTGTCATGCTAAGGGACAGATTCCATTAGATGCTCATTATGGTCCAGTAAAATAACATTCTGGAAAAAATAATTCAAAATATTATAATCTCTGGGGCTGGGGATGTGGCTCAAGGGGTAGCGTGCTCGCCTGGCATGCGTGCAGCCTGGGTTCGATCCTCAGCACCACATACCAACAAAGATGTTGTGTCCACCGAGAACTAAAAAATAAATATTAAAAATTCTCTCTCTCTCTCTCTCTCTCTCTCTCCTCTCTCATTCTCTCTTAAAAAATTCTCTCTCTCTCACTCTCTTAAATAAAATAAAATAAAATAAAAGTTAATATTATTAAAAAATATTATAATCTCATATTTATTGAGCACCTATATTGTAAAAAGTGTTGTACTAGGCAACTCAGATAAACAAAACAAGGATGGTTAAGGCTTGAATTAAGATCGGAACTGAGAGACAATGGAAGAGACAATGGGAAGGGTATATTTACTAACTGGATGAGGAGGAAATGTGTAGAGAGGCGGCCAATATGACCTTATTTCCTATCACTGTTCTTATCACTCACATTTTTCTGGTACATCAGCTTCCTTGGATCAGTGAGTATGTTCCTGCCTCAGAGCGCTTGCAATTTTTGTTCCTGCTGTCCCGAATGCTAGTATTCCATGTTATCTGTGTGGCTTCCTTTTCTACCCTTTTAGACTGTTCATATGTCACCTGGTCCAGAAGGACTTTACAGACAACTTTATGTAAAATAGCAGTCACTCCCTTTCATAGCCCCAACCAAACTGTCATTCTCTGACTCATTATCCTGCTTGCTTTTCTTAATTTCACTCACAGCTACTCAATATATTTATGTTTCTACCCATTCACTAAGATATAAGCTCCACAAGGACAGAGACGGATAGTTTGTCAAAATTGTGTTGCCATCACCTAGAAATGGACCTGGTATATAACTGGTATTCAAATGTTTGTCAATTGAGCAAAGAACTTAAGAGGTAGGAGGATCAAGTGAAAGAGTTTTTAAAACAGGAGTCACTATTGATGTTAAAAGATACTGGAGTAAAATTTGAAAACAAAAACGGCATAAAAATGTTTAGAAAGGCTCATATCTAATAGGTTTGTATTGATTCATTATAAGAAATTAGGAAATTTGAGAAGTACATTCTTATCCTGAGACATATCAAGATGGCTAACAATCTAAGAAATGTTCAATAAGGAATATTTTGTTTTGCATTTTTATAAATGCGATAGTTGTATTTTCCAGGTCTTTTTTGACAGTGGGTGACTATATAACTAGAACATGTTTCCATTATAAATTACTTAGATAATGCTGGATAAAATTTAAAGAACCTATTTAAATGTATAATTTCTCAATAAGGTAAGTGATGCCCCAAGACTATCTTTTTCTCCTCAAAAAAGACAACAGAGGCAACTTAAAACAACTTGATGCTGAACGTGGTTTGCTTTGGGTTTGTTTTTGCCAGTATCAGTAGTTGAGATGCTTGGTCTTAACAGCTATGTACTGTTTGAATCTGTTAGAAGTAGGGTGCTGAAACTGAGAATTCTCTTTCCCAAATACACAGCCAGGATTTGGTCTATGTCCTTAGTTTCCTGTGATAGCTTATAACCATAAGTCTGCTCTTTACAAGGTTTGAGATTCAAGTTTATATGATCTAATTTTTTTAGGAAAAATAAACTAAAAATTAACATTGAAAAACTCGACTCTCTGTGGAATGAATACTTAGTAAAAGCAATCAAATTTTTTTCAGAAGAAACATTTCTACATAGACTTTGTTAAAATCCTGAAGAAAACACCCAACTATGGTTGAGCTACAATTTCAAATTACAATCCATTCCTTCCTAACCCTTACTCCAATCACAAATAAGGCCAAAAGGAATTGGCCTTTAAGAACTTCAAATAATATATTCAAAAGGAGACCACAAAGTACAAATGTTTTAAAATAATTACAAACACTAAAGAAATGAAAAATCTGGGTGAAGAAGACAATATTAAAGATGTTGGACTGAGTTAAGTCCTAATAAAAAAAAAATTCCAGAATGAAAACTATTGAAGATAGCTGAGTTTTCCATTAATGATAAAAGACACACGCCCTCAGACTCAGGAATCATATGTGCCAAAACAGGATGAACGAAAAGAAACAATATTGCCAAGATTTCATAACCATTAGTTAGATGTGGAATACATTTTTCTCCTCTTMCTTTTGGGTTTAATTATACTAGTTCTGAAAGAAAAGAAAAACTTGTGTGGCTGGTTACTCGCCCATTCAAACTAATGTGAATCACTGAGTATGATCATAGTCTGAAGGGAAGAGTTTCAGAGGAAGCCATAGGGTATGGGACTAAGAACATATGAAAGATATGGCCAACGACACCAGAGATAAAAGGAGGCTGCTCGTGGGGGTAGGAAGGGTAGGGCAGTTCTTGTTGAAGTAGCAAAATAAAACGGAGATGGAAAGAAACGGTGTAAAGAGGCCAGGAACACTGGGGAGGCTCTTCTTTAATTGTCCATGAGGATAGGAGAAGGAGATTCAAGAAAAGCAAAATAATTTTCCATCTCTTGGTTTACTATTAAGTGTGACTCATGCCCATGAGGGGTAACAGACATCGGCGAGATGTTGAAAAGGCTGAACCGCATGTTCATCAGTGTTATAAAGAAGGAGTACAGAGACACAAACATACACGTTTGTTACACCTGCAAAGTCTGGGGCAGAAATCAGGGCGGACAGTGAAATACGAGTTCTTAGAGACAGCCCAATGTGTGCAGAGAACTTTGGGCAAAACACAATAAAGAAAAAACATAAGACACGCGTAAACGCCAAGAAAAATTAGGCGTTGTGACAGAGATTGAAGGACGGCACAGAGCCACGTCCGGCTTTCCCAGTYTGATCGAGGGTGCAGTTCTGCGCCTGCGCCAAACGACGCGCTTTTGCTTGCGTGGCCGCGAGGAGGCGCAGTCGTGTTCGGATAGCATCCCAGGGGCGCTCAGACACTAGCCTTTTCCGGGTCGGAGGCGTGGACGAGAATCACTTCCTGTGACGCTGCGCGTCACTTCCTCCTCAGCTCGCYGTTGGGTCAGTGGGGACCCACGCGGCCTCAACATGCGTATCGAGAAGTGTTATTTCTGTTCAGGGCCCATCTACCCCGGCCACGGCATGATGTTCGTCCGCAATGATTGCAAGGTGAGGCGGCCGAGGCAAGCGTCTGCCCAGCCGCGCTCCCGCGGCCCCAGAACGCGTCCCCTCGGCTCCGGGTTTTGAGGAACCTGCGGGGTGTGGTCTGGGTTCTCCGSGCTGCTCTGGCGAGAGAGCCGGCCGCCTATTGGGCATCTCTGTCCTCAGTCCAGCTTGGAGAATTGCTCCTTGCTGTTGTCGCGAGCGGAGCTTTCCACCAAGGCCATCTTGGGCGGGTTGGCTGCTTTGGGATTGAGGAGCGATCCTAACCAGCATCAATGGGGATCCTGGGGCGTCTGTTGGGGCTGTTTGATCGTTATTGGGTCAGGGCCAATTCCTGAATCCAGTAAACTGTTGAACTCATGTCTCATCAAACATATGCGAAGGACCGTGTCCCTAGGGACGAACAAGAAACAAGAGATGGGACTCTCCATAGTGCGTAGAGACTGATGGAATTTTTTTTTTTTTTTTTTTTTTTTTTTGCTAAATAGGAAAGTTAGGTAGAGTTACTGGAGRTGAGTTGTGGAGGGTCATGTATRGAGAAGGTTGGAATTGGAAGTGACATGTATACCGGATTTTGAATACTGCATAAGAAACGAGAGGAGTSGGGCATGGTAGCRTAYGACTGTAATCCCAGCGACCTGGGAGGCACASGTAGTGTAGAGGGCAGCCTCAGCAACTTCGCAAGGCCCTGCCTCAAAATTTTTAAAAAAGGACTGGGCAAGTTACCCATGTGGAGAAAGGAGAGGGCATTCTAGATTGAAGGAAAGTTAAAAGTTTGAGCAAAGATAAGGAACAGAGCTATTATATTTCTGAGGAAGTGGTTGGATTGTAAATRATAGAGGCTTGGGRCTACAGATACGGAAATAAGCCTGTGAACATAAACATAGAMATGCCTAGTTGTGAATGACTTTGTGAATGATAAATTAATTTTCCCTCTTGTATCAGAATGAACCTTATTTCTCCAGTTCCTAGAATTGAACTTGKCTTACATTTGTGTCTGAATTACTAGACACCTGTTAAATATACAGATTCCTGGTTTTCATAACCTCTATGGAGTTGGAAACTTTGTCGAAGAAGGGAAGAGGATGTGAAAGGCGATTTTTGACATAAAATTGTAGATCCTACTATATGACTTTATACCTCTGTTATAGACCAGAGGTGTTAACCTTATTAAATTAAGAGCAAGGGATCCTGCTGGAGGATAGGGACCAAACCTCCGTGGGAACTTAAAGCATGTAGAAGATTTTGAATACTTCCTGGTAGGAACACAGAAATTTATAAAAACAAAAAGATTGCAAGATTGGGGTCTCATTCCCAGTGGGCAATGTGGTTTGTAGATGATCTGGTCATCAGGATCTCATGATTTTTATCCAGTAGTGCTTCTCAGCTGGATATTGGAATTGTAACAACTTCATGAGAACKGTTGAGCTGGGTTTTGATTTGATAGACACAGTGGAAGTTCAGGGTGATGAGGAAGTCTATGTTGCTATCAAAGACAGTGTTGAATGGCCAGGAGTTAGTTTGGTCCGGAGGAAGACCAGTAGACCCAGAACAGAGTTGATTATGGGAATGATTGGAGGTAGAGGCCCTGAAGCACTGACAAAGAAGAAATTTCTCATCGTTTTTATGTTGATGATTCCTGAATCTGTATCTTCTCAGCTCTATATCTGAATTTTCCATTGGGTGGGGAAGTTCTGCATGTATCTCAGTGGATCTACTGAAAAAGAAATTCTTACTGCCTCAAMTCTTTTTGCTTTTTGAATTAATACCACCCTCTCTTCTTAAGGTAGTTTTGTTAGAAACAGAGTCATTGAATTTTTCATCTTTTGTGTTTACTTTTTCCAAGTCCTATCCATTTTGCCTCTGCAAGAATAATGATGTCTTAACCTTCTTTCTGTCCTTCCAATTTGAACTTGGTATGTGTTACCTGTATAGCCTYCTAACTAGTCTTTCAGCTTTTATGGTCTTTGTTCATGAGACTCTTTTTTAAAAAAGAATTTTTTAATTTGTAGGTGGACRCAATAYGGTTATTTTATTTATATGTGGTGCTGAGGATCGAACCCAGTGCCTCATGTGTGCTAGGCAAGYGATCTACCASTGAGCTATAACGCCAGACYTCATGAAGTCTTTGATAGTYACTTCTCCTCTCACTCTTCTTAGGAGGCTTCACAGGGCAAAGTTAGTGCTATTGCTCTRTATTTTCCCATACTTACATACACTGTTAATGAGGGCTTAATAAATGTTGGTTGGATTAGTGGAAAAAGAAAGATTGGAACAGTGTTAGGCCAGGGTAGTTTATGAATCATTTATTGGTATGTTGAAGACTGAAAATGGTAAGGGGCTAGATGAAAAGGAAATGTGAGCCTGTGAAACTTTGGCTTATACATAGTCCATTCATGGCCTACCCAGCATAGATTTAACCACTTCCTAATGTATTTTTTTATTACTTTATACGTTATTTATATAGTTTTAAAATCTCATTGTTTATTTCTTGGTCTGATCTCAAATCTTTTTGTTTGCAAAGTAAGACTCACATTGTTAGATTAAACTTCTTAAGATAGGGCACTATGTTTTAATTATTCTGATATCTCTACCAKCTAGTAGAACCTCAGGCTTGCAGGTGGTCCTTATTTGTTAATTGAATCCTATCCTATCTCCAGTGACTCCAATCTCTTCAAATACTTMATTCTGTTATTCAGATAATACCTATTAKRTGTGGAGTCAAGTAGACTTCTTATAGGCTCTGTTTGGAGTTGAGAAGACCCAGAACAAGTTCAAACCCATCATTATCTAGATTTGAGAAATGAGGATTCGCTTAGGGCTTATCTATTRGGTATTAAATGTTGGAAACTTTTATTTAAAAGGTGATATTATTTGAGCTGAAAGTACTAAAATACAGTTTACTGATAACAGTTTCCTGGTGGGTTACTCTAGGAGCTTGTAGTAGTTCTCATGTTTTTTAGTTGATTTGAAATTAACCAAATGTTGTCGTTCGGTTTTTTTAAGAGGGCTCTCTAGGTTTGTGTATAGATTGGTTTAAATTGGTATTGAAGGGAAAGTTTCTTACTGTGTGTAGTGACCTGCTTGAAGTTCCCTATAGAACAATGTATGTAAAGTGAGCAATATTAAGATTTGTGATATACACACAGGCTTACTTAAATTACTTATACTGTTCTTTTAACATATTTAATTGTGTCACATCTTCTACGTAAGAGACTTAAGTTAA